CTGGACGTGACAATCCAGAAATTCCAAACAGGGGTGAGGGGCATGAGACAAGCAGCCCATGTTAAAGGAAATTTTTTTGTAGCTAATGCGCTAATTGTCTTTATTTTATTTTCAATCTGGAAACTATATCAAAACAAGAATCCCTAAGGGACACACCTGTAACAACACACTGGATGACCAAGGGGCGAAAATGGTCCAGTTATCTCATAATCAAGGTCAGCTATTTGTATGAAAAAGGCCCACTTCAGAGAAAAACTTGTGGAAATCATCTATTTTAATTCAAAAGGGCATGTCGAGAGACGGGCGAGCTTGGCAGAGTAGTTGGCATGTTGGTTAACACTGACGTTTGTTACGATAGGTGTGCAGTCCTCGATATCCACATTCAGCATTTTTAGGTAAACATAGCGATTCATTAGCATTACTGAGACAATGACAAATCATATCCTTGACGTATACAGCTCACCGTTGTACACATACTAATGAGATTGGGTAGACACAGGTAAACATGTAATGCATTGCAGAGTATGACACCCCGGTTCCCACATAATGGCAACTTGACGACTAAAAGTCATCTGCAGACTTCATGAAATAAAGAATAGCGACTTACACAAAAACTAGTATATATTACCAGCGTCCACCATCAAACTCAAATTGAGTGTTTTCCATCGGCATGCCCTAGCCCTTTAAAATGCCCGCAAGCCTCACTTACTTTAAGCATATGACATCCCATGAGATGAAACATTCCCTCGTTATCATCATTAAGATGTCTACAGGTGCGAACAGGTCAGGAATATCATTTGAAAGACACCAAATGAGCAGTGAGGTAGTGTACAGTGGCTGGTAGATGCAGGTTAATATGTATGGGGCATCTATTTTCTAAGTGATATTGTTTATCTGGTCAATTTTCTTCACATACCCATCACATACTGGGACAAGGTTCTCAATACAGTGGAAAACAGGAAGGAGGAGTGAGTTCCAGATTTAGTTTTGCACAAGTTATGTGGCAACTGACTTCATCCTCTTAGAATTTATTAGAGTGGATCTGGGTGTAATGATGTCTAGCCCAACAGTACTGCCAGGAGCACATGTCCCAAAACCTTCAGAAACGGGTAGAGAAAGTTTTAATCATAATTTCCGTATTGCGATGAGAGCTGCTCACACTGAGAATTGATGTGAGCAGTGTCGGCCATCCCTCTGTCTGAAATATCTATGCGTCAGCCACCCCCTATCAGAAAAAGTTTTAGCTGAGCGCTTTTTACGGCCCGCTCAGCTCAGCCACTGAGCGGGAAATTAACCAGGCATGCACGTAACGCTCAGTCGGCAGTGGCCATAGGGGTGCAGGAATTGTCTTCTCCATCGGCATCTGCGCTCCCGTTGGTCGTTGCTGACTGAGCGTTGTGTGCATGCAGGTGCTTTCCTTTTGAGTGGAGCAGGTCTAACAATGCTCAGATAAAACTATCTATTGTCTATGTCACAGCCTCAACAGCCAAACGAGCAGTCTTCTTCCTCGCTTGCACAATAGACCAAAATTGCACTGCATACTGCTTTAGAGGCTTGTTGGCTTGTTTCGCACTCACTCTCTGCAGACAGCTAGGACTGTCGGTAAGCGAGGAAACAAAAGTGTGAACACATATCATGCATGCCAAAAGAAAACATCAATGGGACTACACGAGACTGCATTAAAGTTGCCAATTGGGCGCGTTTTATACTGCACAGCCACTGGCTGAATCACATAAGTGTCACACTTGCCGAGCTTGAAGTACAGTCGTGATCTTTACGATTGTGAACAAGCGATCGTCGACTATTCAGTACTGCCCTAGTAAAAAAAATCATTTGTATGAGAAATTTCTTGTGTCCAATAAACACATATGAATCATACAAGATATATAAGAACATATAAGAGCATATAAGAACCATATAAGAATTATATGAGAGCTATATAAGGATTATATAAGATATATAAGATCCCCATAAGAAACTTATAAGAAACTTCCCACTAGTTTCTTATATGGTGCTTGTATGTTCTCATATATCTTATATAGTTCTTATATAGCTCTTATATGGTTCTTATACTGTTCTTATATGTTCTTATATATCTCGTATGATTCATATGTGTTTATTGGACACAAAAATTTCTCATACAAATGAGAATTTTCAATAGGGTGGGAGCACCATGCACCAGCGGACTTGCTCTCCTTTTCAAATGCCTTGCGAACCAAGCATGGTAAGTCATCTGATAAGGAGAGGGTGTCACCACGGACAGCACTGAGCAGTTGATAATCACCTGCTTACCTTCATATGGATCAAGTCTCTACTTGGCCAAAGTAGGCAGTATGTGTGCAGCAGAAACGGCTGTACTGAAATCTCAAAAGGATGAAAGATCAGAACAGGCTTGGTGAGGTTTCACGTTGCAAGTATGCCCATGCAAATTTCACTTTCTAAAACATAAACACGCATTGCCAATTGTCATCCAGGACAAGCTGCTATTAGACAGCTGTATATATAAGGCAGCTTACCATCAACAACCTTCGCAGACTGCCATGGACCTGATCCTCGGCTTGGCTGATGATGCAGGAACGAATTGGCCTAGTCGATGCTAGCTTCCGTTCGGCAAGGGCTGCACTGAGTATAAAGATGAAAAAAGTGTTGTAGATTATGTGAAACAAAGAAAAGCAATCCTAGCATCCACAATTCGCTAGAGGCACTGAAAACAAAAATAAGAGGTTGGGTCAATTATTTTAATGCAATATACTTCGGACACAAACCATGACTGCAGGTAAGATATTTGCTGCCTTCAATCTAGATCTGCTTTAAAATTTACAAGCCAAATAACAAATATTTTATAAGCTGAAATATATTTTGCTGAAACTACAAAATCTGAAGACTATCTCTGCAAATATGGTGCTATCTAGTACATCAGAGATGAGTAGAATGGGATTACAGCGTCCCCCTTACAAAGATTGAAGCAAAACAAGTATAGAATCTGCCGTGCCACTACAGTAAAACCTCGTTAATTCGAATCTCATGTAACCGGCAAAAATGTCCGAATTAACCGAAAGTAGAAATATCGAAAGGACAAAGAAAGCTGCGCGAAAACGTTGCCCTGTGACACACCTTTATTTTGAGAAAAAATCTGTTATTACCGCCTGCTTTCTGGACGACACTTGGGCGAAGACGGCAACTTTCCTCTGCGCGGTCGAGTGCTCCACTGCACTCGCACTGTCGGAGCTACGCAGCCCGTGCGCTGACAATGTAGCACAGCAAGGCCTCTTCTCGTTTCGGGTGCACCGCCTTCCAAGGCCGCTTTCTTTTCGCGTTGAACTTCTCGCTCTCAAAAGCCCGTAGGATATCGGCCAAAATTTTTACGTACGTGGCCAAAGTGCTTCTCTTGACGTCGTAACTTTCCATAAGTTGTCGAAAGACACCGCCCTCCAAGGCCCTCAGTATTTCCACTTTCGTCGCTAAATTCTTAGCCTAGTACAGCTGCAACGGAAAATGAGTAGCACAACTGACCAGTAATCGGGGCGGCGAAATCACGACACCCGGCGCCATTTTACCCGAGCGCCGATAGCGAGAGTGCCAGTCACGTCCCAAGCAGCACAACTCGTCGGTTTGGGAATGGGGCGGTACCGGTCTGCCGGCAAGATCCTACTGGGGCGACGCTGGAAACGCCCCGCGGGGCGACAACGGGCCAGTGCGATTCCCCGTCACTGGCCAGCACCGGGGACCTACCGACACACTGTTACGCTGGGTGGACAACCTTGTCCCAGTAAGCTGCCAGCGTGTATCCCCGGCGTGCTACCTGTGGTACAGTAAAACACCAGCAAGTACCAGTGAGCACCAGCTTATTTGCCTGTCAGTGACACTGAGTGCCAGCTTATTTGCCAGTCAGTGACAGTGAGTGCCAGCTTATTTGCCAGTCGGGGCTTTTTGCCAGTCAGTGACAGTGAGTGCCAACTTATTTGCCAGTCAGCAACAGTGAGTGCCAGCTCATTTACCAGTCAGCGACAGTGAGTGCCAGCTTATTTGCCAGCCAGCAACTGTTGCCAGCTTATTTGCCAGTCAGTGACAGTGAATGCCAGCCTATTTGCCGGTAATTGACAGTGAGTGCCAGCCTATTTGCCAGTCTGTGATGGTCAGTACCAGCCTATCTGCCAGTCAGTGACTGTTGCCAGCTTATTTGCCAGTCAGTGCCAGCGTATCTGCCAGTTAGTGACTGTTGCCAGCTTATTTGCCAATCAGTGACAGTGAGTGCCAGCCTATTTGCCAGTCTGTGACGGTCAGTGCCAGCCTATCTGCCAGTCAGTGACTGTTGCCAGCTTATTTGCCAGTCAGTGACAGTGAGTGCCAGCCTATTTGCCAGTCAGTGACTGTCAGTGCCAGCCTATCTGCCAGTCAGTGACTGTTGCCAGCTTATTTGCCAATCAGTGACAGTGAGTGCCAGCCTATTTGCCAGTCAGTGACAGAGAGTGCCAGCCTATTTTCCAGCCAGCGACTGTCAGTGCCAGTTTATTTGCCAGTCAGTGACAGCAAGTGGCAGCGGGATCGTGCATACCCGGCACAGACCCACAAGGATACGAGTTTGTATCTGCTAGGAATGTCAGGTATACTTCGCATATATCTGCCCGTCAGCATCAAGCCTTTCCTGCATCTGCCCCAGTGATCTTTGCAGTCGAAGCATTGCATTGCATTGAAAAAAAAGTAACGAAGAGCTAGTTTCTTACGAGACCAAATTCATTTAAGGATGAAAATGAGAACTTTCTCAGGTCCATTTAATAATATGATTGAATAAAGTAATAAGACAAGTGAACTGGTTGACATTACCCATCTTTAGAACTACAGAACATCTTTTGCATTAAGTGGTGACCTTAACATCTTTGCACTCTGTATGGGAGAAAATACATCCCTGACATAGTTATGACCAATTGTTAAAACAATTGTGTCACATCAATCTGGGTAGCATATATACATGAAGGGAACATACAAGATTGTTACCGTGACAGGGGTGTTTATTCACTCAAACTGCTGGTCGGGAACCTCGGGAAGGGTGTCCAGCTCCTCGTCAAGGGAGGGGGCCAAGGACGCAGGAGCTTCTTGAACCTCCTCAGACAGGGACTTTTTCTGGACCCTCCTGGCCCTGCCACCTTCTCTGTCAGGTGCCCCCGAAAGGTACCGGCTTAGCTTCTTTTCCGCTGCCTCCACAACACATGACGGCAGTCGGGCTCGTATTGCACCTGTAAAAAAAATTATTGAATCATGCAGATTAGTGAAATGATAGTGCAAATCAATATCTTGCAGACTAGTTCCATGCAAGGTACTGGTCAGGAACTGTGCAGATTATACTAGTTTTTTTTTGTTTGTTTTTTCATGAAAAAACTGCCCTTAAGGGACACTACCCAAAAAAGTGAATGTTTGAACCACTTGCCCGATTTAAATGACATTTACAGGTTTTGTTTCTGTTGATGTTGAGAACACTTGTGGCAAATTTTGTTAACCTGAGTGAAGTACGAAAAAAAAATTACAAATGTTCAAAGATGAAAGTGGTTCTATAATTTTGAAATTATTTATAATTTTGTCATTTCCATGTGCTATATTGCTTTGGGACAGTTCAGACCAGATAGCTCTAGAGCTATATATCTATAATATACCATCTTTCATGACGAAAAAGCCACATAAACACAAATACCGTTTTCTAAATCTTCATTCTTTATCCAAAATATTTTTCGCATCATGAAAATGACAAAAATAAAAAAAAAATGCAAGTTTATAGCTATCTTCCCCTTAAAATTTCACCCCATAACAATTTCAAAATGAATCCAAGTTACATAATAACAAAAGGGGTTTTCCTAAAGTGAAATTTATGCCAAAAAATGGAATGGAGAAAAATGCATTCAAAGTGCTCCAACCTCTACTTTTTCTTTGGCATCGGTGGACCGAAAATAACTTATAAATAATTAACCATGCAGTGTAAACTAATGAAACTTTCTGGGAATACCCTCTAGATGTTAGCAGATGTAAATATGGCATTTTCAAAATTCAAAATATTTTGCATAATTTTTTTTTTGGGTAATAGACGATTTGTGATTTTCCCAAGTGCCCCGGCCCACGCGCGAGGAATTGTGGGACAGACTGTCCCTCGCCTGGCCGCTCTGCCTTGAGATCGCATTGCATTGTCACTTGCCTCCACTTAATCCTCTGTTTTTCGATTTTATTGCCTAATTTTATCTATTCCAGTGCATTTTCAATTGCTTCTAAGTGTTCCTATTCTCTTCTGCGCGCAATATTTCTCCTTTTTCAACGGGTGTACCGACGGACAACATGCCGCTTCGTGCGTCGTTCCCCGGGTGAGTACTACCGTTGCTAGTGATTCCTATCGCGCTGTTAGCTGTTCATTTTGGTTCATTTGACCCGCTGCAGTCGAGAGGAGCCGTTTATGAACACCCGTGCACATGTCATAGGGGTAGGCAGAGCTCCGAATCAACAATCGCGACGCAAGAGTCGAGTGCGCTGTGATTTGGCCACCCGCGCTCGCTCCGTTGACTCGCACTGTAGCGTATGCCTTCGAGTGCCGCTTAACTTGACCAAGATACAGCACGCCGCTTTGCCGTCGCTAATTATTTGTCCGAATGCCTGAGAAATTGTAACACCGTTAGGTATATCCAACGCAGCGGCGCCTGACAACTGCACGCAGCGGTGCGAGCCCTTAGCAAGCGCCGGCGGTTTAACATTGCGGCTTGTATGCGCCTTTGGCATGCATTCATGATCAGTCTCCTCGGCGGTTATCAGTTGCTTACATCTTAACTCGAGCATCAGCTGACATCTTGAATCGAGAAATAAAATTATCGAAGGAACTAAGAGTTTCAAGATGACTGCCTGGGTGACAGCACATCTCTACAGTTGAAAAAGGGTGTCTGCAACTGACAACCATGTAGCAGATAGATTAGGAGGCATACCATAAGCGCATACAAGCCGCGACGTTGGGCCACCGGCGCTTGCAAAAGGCTCGCGCCGCTGCGCGCAGTTTGTCAGGCACCGCACGTTGGATATGACGAATGGTGTTACAGCTTCGCAGGCAATCGGACAAATTATTCCCGGCAACAGATCTCTGCATTTGAAAAAGGGCTTTGGCAACTGAAAACAGCTTCACAGATAGATTACGAAGGCATGCCATAAGTGCATTCAAGCCGCGACATTGAGCCGTCGGCGTTTGCGAAGGGATCGCGCTGCAGCGTTGCATATGCCTCAGCTTCGTAAACATTCAAACAAATGGTTCGCGGCGACAAAGCAGCGTGCTGTATCTTGGTCAAGTAAGCGGCACTCGAAGGCACACGCTACAGTGCAAGTCAACGGAGCGAGCACGGGCGGCCAAATCACAGCGTACTCGCCTCTCGCGTCGCGATTGTTGATTCGGAGCTCTGCCTACCCCTATGACATGTGCGCGGGTGTTCATAAACGGCTCCTCTCGACTGCACACGGGTCAAATGAACCAAAATGAACTGCTAACGGCACGATAGGAATCGGTAGCAACGGTAGTACTTATTCGGGGAACGACGCGCGAAGCGGCGTGTTGTCCGTCGGCAACCCCGTTGAAAAAGGCGAAATAAAGACACAAACACTATATATACACAAGAAATATTGCGCGCAGAAGAGAATAGAAACACTTAGAAGCAATAAAAAATACACTGGAATAGATCAAAATAAGCAATGAAATCGAAAAACAGAGGATTAAGTGGAGGCAAGCGACAATGCAATGCGATCTCAAGGCAAAGCGGCCAGGCGAGGGACAATCTCTTCTACAATTCCTAGCGCGCGGGCCGGGGCGCTTGGGGGATTTCGCAAAAGGTGTATTAAGGTTAATGGCTGTCTCACAGATAGGGAGATAATAGATTTGTTTATGCTAAAGCATTTTCCCTACGGAAGAGTATCGATGTTTCACATGATACTCCACTGAATTTCAACCGTGGGAGTGGTACTAAAAAACACCAACATCTCAGGACTTTAAACCTCAATTATATTCACTTCATATTCAACCTGGGAAAACATAACGAAAAGATGAACCAAACGGCAAACAGCATCTTCTCTTCACGTTTATTTCGAAGCGTTACTAGTTTTCAGCATGAGGATTAAATGCATAGAAGGAATTAATGATAGAGAATGTAAATAAATCATATAAAATACATGAAGTGATGTCTCAGACACTAAGGGGGACCTATATTTAAAAACCTTTTAGCAAACATATTCGGCGCATATATACTGTAATATAAATTCCATCTAATTATAGGTAGTAATAAATTTAAGTAATTTCTTACCAATGATAACACCACACATGTTGGTGCTCTTGAACGAGAGCTTAGACCGCTGTCCAAGGAGTGAGAATTTATCCTGCACCCCCTTGGACAGCAGCCGCCCCACCATGTCTTGGATGACCTTCGGGAGAGAGGTGCTCTCGCCCAGGGAAAGCAGCTGCCCCTCCTGGAGAGGCAGAACCAGTTCTCGACATGTCAAAAAGGTACACTGGCACGAACACACCTAAAGAATAAAATAATATAATGCCATGTAAATGTGGCACGCCACATTACATGCATAAAGAGTTTTATATTAAGCCCAAAATAGTTTGATCCTCACCCTATAGAGCAAACAGAAAATAACAAAGATACTCGAATGTAAGTCCACCGTATTTTAAACCAACGAAGGCAATGGTTATCTTCCTGCGTATTTGGATAAATCTTGCTTGTCAATCACACTTGTCGCGTTGTTATTTGACGGTTCAAACTTCCAGAGCGAACATCAGGAGCCTCATCTGAATCTGCTCAGAGATGAAGACAATGTTGTATACTGTAAATGACTTAAGATTCGCAAATTTCATGATTCGCCTAAAATTTCTGAAAAACAGGTCCCACAAACAATTCCGGTAAAATGTAAACGCATTGAGATTGTAGCACCTAGCAGAAATTAGCAGCCAAGAATTAAAAAAATTGTGAAATATTAAGCACACGAAAAAAAGGGTCGTTTACGGCAGGGGTTTCCCCCCCCCCCCCCCCATAATGGTTTTCGCAAACACCCAAATTGCAACCCCCCCCCCCCCCCAGCCTTGTCTTGTATGCGTGGCAGGATTGTGCAAAGTGCCTTCATTTTACTTTGTAGTGACATCGCGATTGATATGGGGATAGGTGAGAAGCAGCAGAAGCAAAAATCGCCTAAGATTGTGCTTGTGTTGCCTCTCTGTCGGCAAAAATGCACGAAGGGAGGTGGGGTGGTTCCACGGCATTTTTTTAGGCTAACCGGGGCTCAGTGGGACCGAAAAGTTTGAGAACCCCTGGTTTACAGTATGATGTCCATGAAACTGTCTAGTGGAATCTAGATGTGTCACTTTTTTAATCCAGTGAAGCTAATGTCCGTCAAGAGGCCACCCCACACATCCCTCACTAGCGCTTATTGAGAAGGACACAGACACAACATAAGAAATAAGATCAGGATGTCAGGGAAAGGCTGACAAACAACAGTCTCCATCATTGTGCATTATTGCAACAACTTTGTAGTTTTATTGTCAAAAAACTTTCCTGCTCATTCACATGCTGCTTTGATGGCATCATAAGCCTGTGATTATAAGCATCTCCTTGGCTACCATGTGCTATGCAGCTAAGTGCATACCTACACTGCTTGATAGTAGCCATGAACACAATTCACAACCCATTTCATTTACATAGCTCAGTTTACTCTGTGGCCCTTTTAAACTTTGTTTACTGTTATATGCGAGACCTGTTTCAGTTACAATAAATCTGTTACGAAAGCTCCAGTGCCTTCTGCCCGTGCCGCAATGCCCTGTAAAAAAACTCAATAGTCGCAGTCAACGGAGGCATGAAAAATGTTCTCTCGCCGGCTTAAATGACGGGGTAGCGGTGGCAAGGAAGGGGGTCAAGAGGAGGGCGAGGAAGCACAGGGACAGTAGAGTGCATGCAGCCTTCTGGTGTTTTTACAAGGGGTCCCTATTAGAGTGCAACAGCTAAGTTTGGAAAATAAACCTAAATAATTAGTGTGCTGTTTTTATTTAGTTCTTTTTTTAAGACTTTATTGCTGCTTCATTTCTTTCTGCGAATGAACAGACTCCACTTATCAGTATCAATAAAGCAATCATAGATCTGTAGTGCCAAGGAAGGCAAAGACAGCTAACGCTATCCTCTTTGTCTTCTTTCTGCTGCTGCTGCTACTGCTTGCTCTGGTATAGTATAAGTCACGTAAGGGCATATGATTGGGTGTCAAGTAGGGTTGTGTAACACGATTTGTTATACTTGGTTTTGCGTGACGCTCTTTGTTCGTGGTTACAAACTGACCCACCAATAGATCGATCGCTAAGTGAGAAGTGTTCGTGCCCGAACTATGCAATAACAGCTGTAAAGTTCATAACTTTTAAATTAAAAAAGAAAAAAAACATAAATACCAGCAGTGCCCTGGTCTGTGGCGTTCCTGAGGCGCTTATCAACAGCCCAAAACTCCTCCATTGTAGAGATTGACATCTCGAAGAGCTCGGGTACATCGGGTCTGGCCTGTTCCTCTAGCCTTGCTTCCTGACACTGTTCTACAGCAACCAGGTGCCGGAGCACTTGCCCTACCGTGGCCAAAAGCTCCCTGTTCTGTTGCTCAATGTGCTTGTTTTGAGCACGGACCTCTAGGACGATCTTGAGCAGATGGGTTTCAGAGGCTGAATGATAAGCAAAGCAAATGAAGCATTAGATATCTCAGCAATGAGCACTATTCGCCAATGAAATAATGCTTATAAATTAACTCCTCAGAATTCACATTTTAATTATTCGCCGGTGCAAACTTTTGCAACGTGGTAGGATCTCAATGTAGCTTCCAATGTGTTTAAATATTTACTGGAATTGTCTGTGGTATTTATTTTTCGTTAATTGTAGGCAATTCGCAAAACCAACATACTCACGAAAATTAGGTCATTTACAGTATGGTAAAACCTTGTTCATTTGATCCGCGTTAATTTGGAAACTAAATCATTAAAACTATAACATGGTCTCAGCAAACATGTCCATTAGCATATGCTGCCTGCCTGTAACTTCGAAAGAAGTTGGGCATGGCAATGATTAACTTGAACTAACCCCGAAGAGCAGTACAATTTCATGGAACGAAGCAAAATGGACATGAAGGGCCTTATTACAATAGCTCTAACCAGCATTGTATTCATGATCTCCAATAAATGAGATAAAGGTGGAGCTAGTGTGCACCCAAAACAATGAGATTGTTAGATTCCCAATTCTTTGAAATAGAAAGCTAATTTTGCTGCGTAAAACTTAAAAATTCGAAAACAAAATAAATATGGTTCAGGTACCATGGCCCGTTGTACCGAAGGAACCTCAATGTGTTATAAAGCAAACCTCTTTTTGTCAGCAAGTCCAAATTCCAAAGGAAAATGAAGTGGAATCTCCTCGGGACCACTGATCTTGTGATCTTATAAGGTTTAGTTGTAGAACTCCGTCTTTTTTGCTGTTATTTTGTCGCTGTGACCTCGAAATTCAGTTTTTCGGATAAATCCGAATTGACAGAAACTTTATCGGCTAGTGTTCTTCGGATTTTTTCAGATTTATCCAAAAACACATAACCTTAGTTGTTTACCACCAAAGGTTAGAAAATGGGTATGGTACCATAATGACCTTCACTGTTTTGCCGAAGAGTGCACTTTATTTTTATTCTCGACTGACATCATTAGCTCAGTATTTATGGAATGTTTTCATGTCTCACTACTCTGAAGATGGTCAGCAACCTGGATAAAAGGCTTAGCTATAGCAAATAGCACACGACTAAAACTGTAATCACAAGACTTACGAGTGATAGTGTGCTCCAGCACCTCTGCTGACGCCGAGCTCTCATCACAAGAGTCCAGTAGCCCCTGCTGGGCTGGAAACCAATACATCAAATTCTTTAGGGCTAATACCCAGAAGAACAGCCAAGCAGTGGGAAATATTTTGAAATTATCTGCCGGATGCTTGTTATCATGGGCAAAAATAATGTCGCTCTAGCAAGTGCCACCTAAATGCTGAAAAATCCTAAAATTACTACTGCAATAGTACATCAAAATTTGTTGCTCAGGAAAACTGCACAAATTTATCAGCAAGTATGCCGTGCCAGAAACATAAGCATAAATTGTACTAAAAGAATAGCCTTGTAAAAACGAACCAAGAAAATCAATATCCTAAATTTTTGAATCTGACTTGCAGCATGTACTGCAAGCCATAAACAGCCAAGTTGATAGTGTTGTCAGAAGATGGCAACCAGCAGTATATGGTGAAAATCCAGCGTTCACTTCAGAGTGAAGGTCATCACTGGCAACAATGCACCAATGCTTACATCTGATGTCTCTTTTTCACTGTTTGGGCTGTACAACTACTGACTGATTACAAAATGTTTGATGGTGCATAATGGTGTGAAAGCCCTTGCTCATTAGCACAAAAAAAGTGAAAGGTAATGCGTTCCTTAGGATTCCTGTCACAAAGGCGAAAATGCTTTTTTGTGACGTCATGCAACTAGAAAGCACGGTGCAATGTGAATGCTGATTTTGACATCGCCATTTTTTCAATAACGAATCTTAATTTAGGGGTGCAAACTATTATGCCGGGAACAGCGACGTCTGGGTATTCAGAGAATGTAGTTTGGTTGGGTAGCTCAATGAATAGCCAGATTCACCCATTAAGGCACATGGCAAGATTGTATATATACAGCCATAGCAAACACCAATTCTTTCCACTCATCAAAAAAATAATTATTCTTTTCACAAAGGTCACAAAGCTATTCTTAGTGTTCATGCTGTGCGAGAACGAATAAAACAGATTCCCCGAATACCGCACACATTCATATTCTTTCCCATAATACAGGCATGTGAGATAGCACACGGTGCCGAGCTTCCAGCAGGACCTCGACACATAAAGATAGTCTGGGCCAACGTCCCAACGTCTTGCATGTAATATATTTCCCTCCTGAAGTAGACATATGATGTAAAAATGCCATTACCTTTCTTAGCTCCCCCCTTCCCTCTTTCAGTTGGCGCCGGATTCAGAAATTAAATGCTAGACTCACATGTCACATGCTGTGGCTCCGTCCTCATCTGCTGTTTGCTTGGCTCCAGGGGATGATCTGCCCGAATTGAGCCTAAAAATAAGGAAACAACAGTAAAAAAACCAAACCTTCACATGCATTAAAAGATGCCTTGATAATGAAGTACTTAGGCAGCAGACGAGCTGGTGAGAATGCACTTTTTGCAAAGTGAGATTCAGGAACACAACAAAATGGAACTGTGTCTGTTGTCACACTTTTTTTGTTTCAGAGTCTGAGGTTGTAAAAGATTAATTTCTGTTATGGCTTTCTACGAATGATAGAAGCTTCCATTCAATGCCAGCATATGGCAAAGATCAAAAGCATAGATAACAAAAGAATCCATAGATAACAAAAGAATCCATTGCATAGCAAAGCATCTCTTCTTTCCTTTCTTAAAGGGGCACTGAAGGGATTTTTGAGATCACCTTTTTAATTATGGCGATAACTCAATCTATACACTCCAAGCATTCTAACAAACCCAAAATTACAATATTGTGCGCATTATTTCCATGCTAAAAACGTTCTCAAAGATCACCGACACGCTTTTTCCCTAGGAAATTCCCCAGAGTGAAGTGGTCGACGAAGGTTATTCGTCGGCCAACTGCAAGCGGTGGTGGCATCGCCCGTAGTCAAAAAGCAGAGTCTTATCCAGGTGTGTGCGTATTACTCTTTTCAAAAGAAATTATAATAAAATCTACAGAATCTGCACCTATTGTAGGACTTTCATTGGTCCAGAGAATGTAGTTTGCAAGAAAAAAGAGTCCGCATGTTTTTTCTTGCCTAGAGATGATGACGCCATTTTGCAATCCAGAACTTGTATGTACTAATAGCTTTTAAACAATTTAATACAAAAATGATCTCCTTCAGAAACCACTTTAGTGCCGCTTTAAGTCTCAAGTTTATGGATTAGAGAACAAAAGGTGGGAGTGTAAACGCCATCAAATGAAGTATAGAGCGAAATGTGAAATGCTTATTACCTTGAGAGGATGCTCTGCCAAAACGACCTGGAACTATAAATAACAAGGTTGTTTAATTTTGACCGATTATAAAATTTTGCGAAACTATGCAATGCACAAATGTCAGAAAATACTGTAGAAGTCTTGATTTTCCCCAGGACTTAATTTTCATTAATTTCGCAAAAAGATAGGCCTCGTGAACAATTCAAAAACAAAAGCCCTTCCATTTTGCGAACATTAGTACCAGCAAAAAATTCAAAAACTTCAGATTTAGCCAATACCACGAAATAAATGGACCTATCAAAAAATAAGTAGTTTACTGTGTAACATGGTATCTACAGGGTGTTTCAGAATAAAGTTGACTCAAAGTGTCCGCAAAAATCAGGGACTTGACGTACTAAGTAGAAGCTCATCTCGGATAAGCCCTTTACTGGTCGGATATATGCATTAAATGTTGTCTCAATTCCTAGCACGAAAAAAAAATACAAAAATGCTTTAAATGTGCGAGTTATGATTTTTTATACTTTCCGTACTTGAAGTAGATACGAATTACAGGTAAATTTTTGATGTGTAAATAAGACTAGTAAAATATGCATTTGAGATAAATTACAACCCGATACGCTCAGTCGCCAATTTTCAACGGGTCATTAATTGTAGCTTGTAACTTTATTTTGAGACGCTCAAGAATAAGCAGCTGAACATAATTTTAAACTTACCTCGAATACGTATTTTACTAGTCCCATATACACACCTTACCCTGAATCCACAATTTACTAGTCTCATTCACCCATTAGAGATTGAAATCTCTACTTGAAGTATGGAAAAATAGAAAATAGAAAACCGCACCAATTAAAAAGCATGAAGCATTTTTTTAAATATTATTATTTACGCAGAATTCAGACTTAAAAATTTCACTGTGCAAATCCGACCAGTAAAAGATGTATTCGAGGTAAGTTTCCATTTGATATGTCAAGTCCCTGATTTTTGCGGGCGATTTTAGAGTCGAAACATTATTTAGAAACACCTTGTAGTAGTTTTCTGAAAAATAAAACATAATTTATAGGTGGGAAATATTTAAATACTTAATGCACAATCAAACTTGCAATATTTGGTTACATTCAAAAATTGCTTAGAATTATGCTAAAGATATGGTTTCCTCTACTCTAGGATATGCTACAACTAACCTCCACTCTCACAAAGCATTGTCTGCTCTAGAGAGATCACACGACTTAAGACCTTTCACACTGAGGCAACAGTTGGACAACTCTATCCGTCAACACGGGGAAGTCGTGTTGCCGGCGACCCTGTCACATCGCGGCAACAACAAGAATCGGGCAACATGTTGCTGCCGCCCGGCAACCGTGTTGCCCGATTTGTTGTTCGACAACCCTGTCGCACCGTGCTGACGGCGAGGACAACACGGGGAACACTCCGCCATCTTAATTGTTTACTTTCGTTCGTGTACGACGCGGAATTGCTGGAAATCTGACTCTACGAAGTGCTAGCGCGTTCGAAGGGCCGGGAATTACCACGGTACGACATCAACCAGTGACTGTGATTAGAAAACTTGGCACTGAGAGTATTTTCCGCTCTTTATTTTATCGAAATGTTCTTCATTCGCTGACAAAGTAGATAGCCCTAACCGAGGAAAGTGTCATTGCTGATATATGTTCGGGATTTTCGCCACCATATGAAGTGTTTTTGTCCGGTTCTTTCATGCAATTCCTATTTCTACTGTAAAATTGAGTTAGCACCGGCAGTACCCCTAACCGTCTTTTGTAGCGTAGTGTTGAGCTGAACTGACAGTGCTTCAAAACTGCAACACCGACACGATCGGCCTTCATAACAATCGGTGAAATAAATATTTTTCAACGCTGTTATCTGCCTACCGCCTGCTATGTGATCGCTTCATTCCCCTAAAACGTCCTGGGTACTTTTAAAACAAATCAGGTGTCTGGCAGCGGCTGTTTCCAAGTTCCAAGCATCAACAATCATGATCAGAGTGGTCGTTTTAATGCTTCGATTTTTTAATCTATGGTTTTCTGGATTATTTTTATTATACTTTAGTAGCGGGTGAGTATAGCGTGCCATTTTATTTCACTATCAGTAATGTGAGCTGGTTTCTCGGCAGTTCTAATTTCAAAACCAGTCTGAACGTTCACGACCGTAGCTGTGACTATTTCGAAAATCGCTTTCCGTAACTACGCAGCAAAAACATTAATCTAACAAATTTTAGCAACACGCCAGCGATAAATAACGTTTTCCAGGCCTTGATTTGAGTAAGACGTTATTGATAGGGGACTAGTTCTACCATCGAAGCTACCTATGTTGTGTTGGCAGCCAGCAATCTGGGCAACACACGTTGTCCAACACAAGTTGTTGCTGTTTTTGTTGCCGAAAACTGTCACACCGAGGCAACATTTTAGTTGTTGTCCATGTTGTCGTGCTGTTGCCGCGATGTGACAGGTTTGTCGGACAACACAGGGAGCAAGCCACAAGTTGCCCGACTGTTGGACAATGTGTTGTGTTGTTGTTGCCGTCGTGTTGCCTCAGTGTGACAGGGCCTCTACAGTATATCGACTCAGACAACAAAGAAGAGTATGTTCTGGATCGTGCTGCAGCGGCTGTTCAGTAAATACTCAAATGTTCCTAGCGCAGCTGGCCGGCATCTATATTTTATCTTAATTATACCACCGTAACACTATATGTAAGAAAGTGTAGTCAATATCTTAAGCTTCTCTGAAGACAATGTTTTTCACTTTTCAAAAGAAGCGACCTCTAAAGTACTGTCGACGTTTTGCATGCTCCAATTATCTCATGATATGTTTCCTTTTGGTCACAAGTGGATGTGACTATTTGAATGTGGCTTAAAATTGGTTCGCACCGCAAATGCTGGAGAAATGTGCGACTCCAGAGGCAGGTTTGCTAGTGAAGTCTCCTCTACTGACCAAACTGTCTCCATGGCTCTTGTATGGAAATACCAATGATGGAGACATAAAAATGGCGCACCGTTTTAAAATCATGCTCGAGACCTGTGATCCCACGTGGCATTATCTGCCATCAATCTTACTAGAGCAGGCTATAGAATTTAGAATACTTCTATGTCTTCTATCATATTCTTTCTTTCCTTTTGCATAGCATTTTCTATTGCATGCCGGCCATCCTCAACTGCAGGCCATCGACATACTATGAAAGGAACATAATATTTTAATTATTCATTAGTCAAAACCATTCCAACAATAAATTTGCGGTGTAGTGCTGAACACTCACGGGGGGCTGGCAAAGTCTCTCTACCGTGTGTGCTGCTGGGAGCGTTACTGTCTTGAGATCCGCCGGCTGCTACTGAAGGTAAATTAAAACAAGAGTTATTAACTGCGCACTCTACCTATCATAATATCCTGAGCTATTGCTCATCACCAAGACATCGCCCACTCCACTTTATGGGCAAGAAACACATATTACACAAGAAACCCCTGCAAAAGCTGTGTCCTCGTTCTCGGTGCGATGACACGGGATATAACATTGTACTTTTCTGTTCCAACACAAATTTTAGAAATGTAAGCATAATCACCTTCGTCATCAGGTTCGCCAGCATCTGTTGTCTCAAGACAGGAAGGAGTCTCGGCCTCACCTGCTTTCCTTTTTGCCTTTTTGTAGGTGTCTGTACAGAGAATAAAAGACCGTAAGTACCCTCCCACCTCCAATAATGTACTGAAATATGACTGGACAGAACCCGAGTCTCAATGTACAAAAGACGAGACATCACAGGTACATTTTTCGCTACACAAACTGTCAGTTGCGCTATAATCATACCTTGCACATACCATTAAAATACCGGCCATCTCCCCACCACCAAATTTTCTAACATCTGAAAAATTATGCTCAGTACAAATATGCCTAAAATTGATGACCTAGCGAGTGCCCATCCACCACTTTTTCGCGATTATCTCCAAATTTTTAATGGGCACTTGCTCGGTACTTTACGGTATACACAGCTCGTGAAAGAAGACAATAAAGAGCTTGAGCTCAGGCTAGAAATTTTGTCAAATATGCTTATGCCCCACAATGCACAATGTTTTCTGGCATTCAATTTTAGTGCATAAAACCTCTGCCATGACCATTACTGTAAATGGGAACTTGTCACAAACAGGAGAATAAAGCTCACTGAACAGAACAGAGCAGCTGCACTTCAAAAGAGGGACGCAATGAAGGCTGATGTGAACAAGTATGCTAACGAAGAGTAAATAAATCCATATGATTTAACAAAATATGTGGAGGTGTACAAAACACAGAAGAAAACTCACTGCATCTTGCCAAAATCTTTACAGTGTAGCGGGGCCAGCTTCCATCAGGAATGTGAGACACTTTCACATAATTTTTTATTTCCACTCCGGACATGTTGTCAGGCCAGTAGCATAGCTGCCTGCCTCGCTTATCCTCGATGACCCATGACAACGGGACAGCCTCCACAGTGTTTTCATTGAGGAATTCCACCACGGCAAACTTTTTCGTTTCCTCACTAAAATGAAAGTTGCAGTCAGACATGATGTTCCAATCAAGTTCTCATTGATAAATCTTTATGTTTTGACTTAGAACTATGTTCTTCTCACTTAGAAGAGGGTGCAAAGTTGGAAGCAAAAGTGGTTGGCACCAACCACTTTTGAAGCATTTTGGTAAACCCAAGACTAGGTTAAAGCATGAGGACAGCCCAGTCTCAAATACAACAAGAAATGTGTTCGAAGTGTGAAAAATCTGTTCATACAACCTGTTTTGTTTACGTGCTATGGTCATGCGATAATGATGTTTTGACTTTATCGAATGTCTCGGATTCACATTTCGGAGAAGCTTGTTGCACAGTTCTCTCAACAGAAAAGGGTAGTGGCGTAGTTTTCTCGACACTACCAGTCCCTGCAGGGTAAATCGAGCGTTTCATGGAAGAGTAAAGCTATACGCACTACGTCGTGCACCTCGATCGGAAATGGCTATACGCACGACGCGAAACTCGTATACAACTAATTGTTACGAGTTTGCGAAGGGAAAGTGTAGCCTAGTGGAAAGGTGTCTGCTTCATACACAGCAGACCCCATGTGGATCCACAGAACTACCTTGCTTTTTTTTTCCCCGAATTTTTTTTTTCTTTGCTTTTTGCACACAAAAAACGAATGTTGTCGACAAAACTTCGGTGAAATCGTATGGGACTCCCTTTCCAAAGGTACAATGGGGATAGCAAAGCTTGGGTTGCTCGGCGAACGGCGCAAAGTGGCATGTACAGGTTAATAATTTTGTAGGTTAATAGTTTTGTCATTAGCAGCATCAGACTGTCACTGCGAAGATGCTGAACACAGTCGGGGGGGGGGGGGGGGGCTAATGAGTTTTCCAGTGATACACACACCATCCAAAAAGGGTCACCCAAATGGCAAGTGCTCTCCACATTGTGCGTATAGCCACTTCCGGTCAAGGTGCACGAGCTCGTGCGTATAGCTTTACTCCTCAGGAGTAATCAACATGAAAACCCGTACAATGGCAAGTATTCGTAAACCGAGTTTTCTCCTTTGCAACGAGGACGTCGCACTGCTCATGCGCGACGCTAGCCTTGACTGCAGAGCGGAGGCGGTGTATGAAAATTCTAAGCTTTGGTTCGCTAGGCCTCAAGGCCAAACCGGGAAGACCTCGAGCAACAAAGCATACACACGGTTTGCTAGGCCTTGAGGCCGAACCAGGGAGACCATGAGCATCAAATCATATGCATAGAACATCCAGGTACTCCTTGAGAAAAATTTACCTCACTAAACAGTACAGTTAGCTCAAATTGCTACATGTAACGCTTGCACTCTTCACTTTGCGCTTCCCGCCGCCGCACGTGAAGCCACAAGACGGCCAGGGAGACGATGTGCGGTTTTGCTAGCGTTTCGCTGTGGTCTTCCAGCGTGCTGTAGACATGTTTTCTGCTTGTTCGTCGTCAGTCGCCGAAGAAGATATTTAAGACTCTATTGAGACTTGCCGTTGTGCAATTGTGGAAAATTTGACGAAAGCGCAGTGCAGCAGGAAAAAAACAAAACTTGCCAAAAGCAAGTTTCACCAGTCTTGCGGCGGGACCAAAGCTTCCTTGGCACGTCGAAGCACTGTGTCTCTGTGCCTTCGCACGTTTGAATACCAATCAAAAATTGACGCCGTGTGGATCTGTATTGTGAGTACAATATGTGTGAAGCCGTATATAAAGGTAGAACTCGTTGAAAGCAAGTGTCGCCGGTCTCGCAACGTGATCATAGCTTCCTTGGCACGCCAAGCACTACATCTTTGTGCCTTCGCACACTTGGATACCGATCAAGATCTACGCCGCACCAAAGTTCTGAAGGTGTGTCGCGCGTAGATGTCTTTAGATCATATATATATATCGGCCACAGAGTTCTGGATGGATCATCTAGCTGTTTTGGTGAGTTGCTATCAAGGGGGGGGGGGGGGATCTGTATGTGCTCTTATTTACTAATAACAATGGCTATGTTCCAAATTTACTCTAATGGATTACGTGTGAGCACGAATTGAGCAACGCTGGGGAGCAAGAAGGGTTTTTGAAGGCAAAAGTACAAGACGGCGAGAATGAAAATCTTTGAAGCGCGGCCGATATGGTTGTGTGCTATCTGCTGACCAATTACTATTAGGCGAGCCGCGCTCAAACGTCAAGTGCAATTAAGTAGGTTGATAATGAGCCAGCACTGATCAGTAATGAGGAGCTGTTGTGCGCGGTATTTTATAAATCGTCTGAGCATGAAAAAAGACGTACCTTCCCCCTCTTACGTCGCTAGTGGACGCAGTATTAAGCTCGTTAATGGTCCGCGAGGGTTGCAAGTATACAGTCGTCAGAGTAAAGTAAGACGCTGATCCAGAGGCACATCTTCACGCACATTGCATTCGCAAAACCCATTCACACGGCGTCAATTCTTGGTCGGAATCCAAGCGTGGGAAGACACAGAAACACAGCACTTCGGCGTGCCAAGGGAGCTTCGACCTTGCCGCGAGACCGGCGAAACTTGCTTTTGACAAGTTGTGCCTTTTTCCTGCGACACTGCGCTTCCGTAAAATTTTTTCACGTGTTCACAGCGGCAAGTCTCAACGGTACAGTCTTAAAAAACTTCTTGGGCGAATGATGACGACGAACGAGTTGAATACGTGCCTATAGCACGCTGGCAAACCGCAGCAAAACCGCAAATCATCTCCCAGCAAGATGGCCATCCGTGGCTTCACTCGCGCTGCACCGAACAAGCGGGGAAGCACGATTTAGCAATGGGCGCGTTAAGTCCGCGCTTCTTTACTCGTACTTCGACGCTCCGAGTTTTCATACTCCGGGCGCAGCAACTAAACGATGCATATTGTACAGGAGCGCGACACGCCGAGGCTGCGTTCCAAACCAACTTGAATGGATCCGAGTTACCCTGGCGGATTATGTCACATGACAACAAAAATAGAGAAACACTGGGCGCGGGTAGGTTTTCGATAACCACCGTTACCCTAGAGTTAGATCGAGTAAGTTTTGGAACACAGCCAGAAACTATCTACGGGCCACTCGAGCTACTTTTGACTGTGGAGACAAGTGGCAGAAGCCGGAAATATTTCGAAGATAAATAATTAGGCCCGTGTGGAGCGGCAGAATCTAAAGCAAAAGAGACGGCGACAATACGAAGGTAATACGACCGCTATAATATTCCTGATTGGTTTGAAGACTCCCATCGTGCACATATGTGGAAGGTTACCTTGGCCGATCTATATATTGACCATGCATACTGTTTCGATTTAAATTAAAGACAACATTCTTGAATCCGCTTGTCGACGCAGGAAACCCTCAAATTTGTCAGAGACTCCCTGGTTCTGTCGGTTCCGTCTCGCAGCAAGACGGAAGCTACGCTGATACATTGTCGTTCGATAGCACGTCCTTTTTAGGTGGTATGCATGAACAAACCTTTCCCGCAACGCTAACTGGTGTTTCGGCTTTTCAGTCTAAGTATACGTAGGAGTAAAGTAGCGCCGAGTTAAAGCGCCCAAGATCAGCGGGGTGACCCAAATGGCACGAGCTCAACGCATCGTGCGTATGGCCACCTCCGGTTGAGATGCACGACATAGTGCTCTTTGGGGAGCGCTATCCGGCGAACATTGAAGCTTCGGATTGCGCAACGCTCTGCGCAATCCGGCGCGAAACTATGCAGCCAGAGCTGGTTTCGCGCATTTGGAGTAGCGGCGTTTTCGTTGCGGAGCTTGGCGGAGGAGGCAGCCAGGCAGCGAGGTCTACGAAAAATCTCAACTGGCGAGTCACGGCGGTTGCGCGATAGCTTCTCTATCGTAAAGTGAGCATCACGTCATCAAACGCGCATGAAACTGCACGAGCGATCGCAATGCGAGTGCCTTTTGATCGGCAGGGTGAATCCAGCATACCTGACACTCCCATCCTTTGTTAGCTTCTGTTTACTTGTGACTTCAATCGGCATTGGCTCGGATACTGGATCGGCTGTTTGGTTTGCTCCTTGGTACACGGTTCGCGCCCTTGTGCAATGTTGCTGGTTGGCCAAGCCGGCAGGTCCGATGCTCTTCTTTTACTACACGAGACAGAGGACACAAAGAAAAAAAGTTGCCGGTACATAGGTTTACTAGGCTGCATAAATTTCGTCTGCTTGCGTTTGTAGTTCCCTTCACAATCAATGCCGGTGAACGAAATTTGGTACACATGTACGGAATATCATTTTAAAGACACTCAGGATAAGCGGTTAAAAAATTCACTGTATTGGGTAACACCGAACGTCAGTTTGTGTTTCGTTCGTGTCCCCAGTTCTCGGTCTCGGTTTTACCAAAAGGCAAACCACCTGCTTGCGAGGAATAAAATAAAAAAATTAATAAAGCATCCCGCTGAGAAAAATCAACCGCAGGACAACTGGCGACAGTAGGGACGGAGGAAAATTGGGACTCCCTCCAGCGTAGCTCCGGCCCTGTCTCTCAAAAACAAAAGTGTGTGCTTTTTTTATTTATTTTTTAAAGTTTATTTTTGGGGATTTTATTTCCGGCCCAATGATAGTTGCAGGGGTATAGAGGGAAAGAAATTGAAAATTTAAATCGAACAAGGATAAAAACACAATTTTCTAGGCTAGGTGGCGCAAGCTACCGCCCGCTGCAAGGGGTAATGCCAGAGCCGTGTACGGTACGGCCAGAGCCGCATCAATGCGACTTGAGCGAAGAAAAAAAACATTTGCAAAATAAAATTTAAAAAAAAAAAAAACGGATAGGGGAAGTTGCGTAACGTTGGCTTGCGGATAACAAAATTAAAAATAAATAAATAGAGCTAGCCGTTGCCCAAAAACTGGTATCCCGTTCACCTGGCGAAAGTGAGCCCTACTTGGCTGCCGCGACGTTGCACAATTTGGACCACTAGACACGTGACCGTACCAAATCCTGAGGCTTTTATCGCGATCGCTGTAAAAAGACATGATAAACTATTTCTTCAATGACGAAAATCGAAACAATGCTTGGGAGAAACGGAGTCGGTTTGCTAGAAGCAGCGTCTACCACGTCTACTAAGCGCAGTCAGAGCCAACGTTGGTCTCGGACGCTAGCGCGCCTAAGCATTTCTACAAAGACACTGCTTCTATCTGGCCCAGGTGTCAAAGGGACAAAGCTTAGCTCTCAACCCTTTTGACGAGAAATAATGAAAACACGCGTAATTGGCTAGAAAGCACGCACTTACGTTAACATGACGGGGAGATCTCTGCCACAAGGACAAACAAGAAAAGTTTTCCAAACTTCTGAGCGCAATCTCCACACTCAGATAATACTAAAGATACACGAGCAACCGAAGACACGCAGTAGCCCGAGGAAAATAGGGACTTTTCGTAGATCGTTTTCGCCGTCCCGCAAGGCCCTCCGCAACCCGCTACGATAGCGGGAACTCCACAGTAAAGGCTATCGGCGCGCAGGCGCAGTAGCAACTTCTTCGTTGCGGAATGCTTAGCGGAGGGGGCAGCGCGGTCTACGAAAACTCCCTAATGAAGGAAGTTCCGGGATGGTAGCGGGACCCGGCTGCGGGACTGGACTGCTCCCAGCGGGTGCGGGGAAGGGGGAGAGATCGAACAATAGGTGACGTTGCTTTGCAGAGAAGAAGGACGGCGCGGAGGTGTGCGTGCGTAGGCGTTGTAAATAGAGATGAGGGAAGGGGGAAACAAACCCAGTAGTGTATGCGCAGGGAGTACATTTGTCACTGGCTCTCGGGGTGAAGAAGGGGGGGGGGGGGGGGGGGGGGAGGCGAGAGAAACAGGGAGGTATGCACCTGCAACGCTAACATCTTATCTGCTAGGATTTCGACCGGCGAAAAAAAGGGAGGATGGGGAGGGGGAAACCTCTTCTCATCCCCAGCGTCGCATCCGCTTTGTACTGCACGGCGTCATCGTTACTTTAGTGCAGTGGCCGTTATATAGTCACTAAATAATTTATACATATTGTATTGACTGAACAAAACTCCCAAAAAAGGGGGGAAAAAGAAACCCATTGACTATAGGAATTTGTTTTAATGGCTTTTGAAACAGTGAAGATATCAGTATATCAAAAACCAGAAAATACGGCGTATAGTATACGAAGATTAACATAATAAGGCCAGGAATTCAAACAACCGCTTCCTTTCCCCCTTTTTATGTGCTTATGTAGAAATATTTACAGAGGCTTACGTACAATCTTACCCGGTTCAATAGTTTTCTCCAGATATATATCATATCAGCTTGATAGCCTGTTTTCATTGTTTCATTCTCCAGCAATAACAACAATTCCAAGGGTGGTATCCCGGCTGGTGTTCTACTGTTTCAAGCACGCTTGCAGGCGCGTTAAGTAACCAACGTAACGTTGGCAGCATCCGCTTGCAGGCCTTTCTCAAAAAAAGCTGCCATCTTGAGTATTCGTGAATAAGGGGGGGGGGGGGGTGCTTTGCTCGCTCTCCGAAGCGACTAGCACGCACGTGCTTGGCTGCCTAATTTGCCTAACGTGCCTAATTTGGATTGGTAAACAGATTGCACATGACCGTATGGGCCACGCTTGAAAACTTTTAAATTCACGCTGTCTTGTAATTTGGACTTCGAAAACTCGCTTTTCTTTACAGCGTTGCTCTGTTTGTGCTGCCATGTGATCCATTAGGGTGGATTTGGAACATAGCCATGGCTAATAATGCATAAGAGCAACTGTAAAGATTGTTTTCCCCCATTTATTCATAGCAATTAACTCGCCGGCAGAGCTCGATGGTCCAGAACTCCGTGGCCGATATATGATGCAGACATCTACGCACGACACACCGAGCTTCAAAACTTTGCCGCGGCGCCGATTTTTGATTGGCATGCAAGCGTACGAAGGCACAGAGACGCAGCGCCTCGGCGTGCCAAGGAAGCTTTGATCACGCCGCGAGACCGGTGAAATTTGCTTTCGACGAGTTGTGCATTTTTCCTGCGGCACTGCACTTCCGTAAAAATTTCCACGTGTTCTCAACGGCGAGTCTCACGGCTTACAAGAGTATTAAAGAACTTCTTCAGGCGAATGAGGACGAACGAGTAGGAAAGTGTCTTCAGTATGCTGCCTACTGCCACCGCAGCGCTCCCGAAACGCGATTTTTCTAGATGTAAGATGACCGTCGGTGGCCGTACTCGCGGAATGGGGATGCCGGGAATGCGCGATCCAGCAATTGAGATCAGTTAGGGTGCCTCAGTCCTTCTGTTTAGGGTGACGCCACCTTTGTAGTACCCGATGCCGTAAGCAACGCGCCCACGGTTAAGATACAAAGAAATCGACGAAAACAAAATGCCGCCATAGCACAGTCAGCGCCACAAACACGTGCAGGTACACGCTCCTTCACGCGCTTCTGAACAAAAAAAAATAAATAAATAAAAGTGGGGGACAATATGGCCAGATGTCTCCACCCTAAGCAAAGCGCACATGAAGTCACCCCAAAAATCAGTGGTTTGAGGCACCCGATCGCTCGTCACAGCGCCCATGACTTCCCTAATAAATAGCGAGCGCTCGGCCCGCGTTTGCCGAGCGGATTCTTGTTCCCAGTGGGGCGCTCGCCGAGCGGCTCCAACCGATCCGTGGGAAAGTGGCGGAACGCGTCGAGCGATCCGAAGTAGTTCTCCGAGCAGCCTTTCTCAGAGGAGCACGATATGTAGTCCCTCGCAACATTTCAGTTTCGTTATCAACGTTCCCGCGGGAGAGTGAAGGAGTTTCGCGGCTTTTTTGTTTCTTGTTGTGCTTGCTTTCGTTCCTCTCGTAATGACCCACTCGCCCGAGCATACTGCGGCAATGACATCGTTGCAGTTCATTTCAAGAGGTAGGTCTAACGAAACGCAGTGACAGCGTAATCAGCGACAGCGACGAAGATACCAGCTAGCTCCAGCTCGAGTGACGACGAGGCAGCCGTTCTCGGCGAAGTGTTCGAAGGCAACACGCCAAATACTCTGCAGATGGAGGTCGCCTTCGGAGATGACGGATCGTTTTACGGCATACGTGTTTGGTATTGCTTAAATCCTACGGTTCGTACAAGCACTTATAGTTGTCTTCATCAAAATTATATAACTAAAAAAAAAAAAATTGGGTCTAAACGTCGGGGTCACCATTAATCAAGTAGTAAACAATCAAATTTCGTCAAAGCATAAAGTTCTGGTCGGAACTTTATGCTTTCAGCAAGATAGCATTGGAAACCGAAACTGTTAAAAAGCGAGGGCAGACGCTCTGAAAGCGGTGGCGCTGGGAGCGTTACGCTGGATTTGCTCCGCAGCGCGTGCCACTGCGGTGGATCACATAACCGATCGCTCACGAACCTCACGAAGGCCGAAGGCCAACCTCTACGACCGCTAGCACGGAGCGCTCAGGATCTGCTAGAGGAAGCGGCTAAAATTTTCTATCGATCTTTAAAATTGAAACATCAACAGTTACGTTACAAACGGTAAAAATCTCCCTTAGAGCAAGTTATTCTAAACGGCGGAGCTGCTGAGCGCAACCGCTGGTGGGCGGAGTGCTCGGTGCGGAGTGTAGCGGAGGTAGCGGAGTGAGGTGGGCAGCGACTCGGGTGACCCTAGAGACTCTAGCTGACTCGGTCTGATTTGTAGCTGTGCCCTTGTCAGAAATCACGTTTGGGGTGCCCGTGGTGTCTCTCTGGCTTCGAACGTTGTGCCCGAATCCTCTCTCGCGGTGTTCATTCTCGACAAGTCGATTGAGTGTCTGAGGATGAGCTCACGGTGGAAGAAAGCACGGATTCTTCGGGAGGAATATAGGACCGTCATGCGGGACATCGCGGCCAGCACCGCCGCGACCGCCACGCCGTGCATGAACATTGGCGCTGCTTCTTCCGCAAACGATTCTCCGTCCGAGTCGTGCGCAAGTACTTCCCCAAGCAGCAGTGAAGCTGAAAGTGATCACGACTCTAACCGAGATGACCTGCCGACCGAGCAAAGGATGCAGGACTCTCCGAAGGAGATGAGCAGCGACTCCTGCTCAGACGTCGATGCCGAACCCCCTCCCGAGCAACCCGAGCCTTCGGCCACGGAGGAACTGGCCACCGTAGCGCGAAGATTTCATCTTACGCACGGGGCCGTCAACGCCTTTGCGGCCTCACTGCGAAGGTTGGGCCATGACGTTCCGAAGGACGCCCGGACCATCTTGGGCATGGAAAGAAAGGCTCAACTTGGGCAGGCCAACACCTTCATTCATTTCGGCTTCATGAAATGCCTTACGGAATCGCTGGGTGATGCTCTCCTGCCGCAAGAGTTGCACCTTTAAGTGAGCATCGATGGACTGCCGCTTTTCAAGAGCTCCAGCGTCGGCTTCTGGCCCATTCTTTGCCGTGTGACTAACTGCGGCGAATCTACACCTTTCGTGGTAAGCCTCTTCTGCGACTGGGGCAAGCCACCGAACCTCGAGACCTTCCTTCGGCCTTTCTTAGACGAGGTGCAGGAGCTGAAGACCAACGGTATGGTGTATAAAGGCACACACATTGACGTTCTCTTGACAGCAATGGTCTGTGATGCCCCGGCCAGGAGCTTCGTGAAGCAGATCAAGAGCCACGCTGGATACCACGGTTACGAGCGGTGCTCCCAACGAGGACAGTACGTTGAAGGTCGAGTTACCTTTCCCGAACTCAATGCGCCACTTCGCACAAACGAGACATTTCGAGATCAAGCGGATCCAGCACATCACATCGGTGACTCCCCAGTTGCTGACCTCGACGTGAACATGATCACAATTTTTCCCCTTGACTACATGCACCTGGTATGCCTTGGCGTGATGCGTCGCTTGTTGAGAAGTTGGACCTGTGGTCGTGGAACACTAAGTGTTGGTCAACAGCGTGACCTCAGCAGTAAACTTGTGGCCTGCGCCAAGGAGTTCCCGTCGGACTTTCAAAGAAAGCCAAGAGGTTTGGATGAACTAGATAGGTGGAAGGCCACAGAACTAAGGTCTTTCCTTCTTTATGTGGGACCTGTAGTGCTGAAGTCTCTTCTTCCAAAGACCCACTACGAACATTTTCTCCTTCTCCACGTGGCCATCAGGATCCTTGCGTCACCAGCATTCTACGTTTGCCACAACAGTTTTGCAAGAGGGCTGTTGCGCTACTTTGTGCAGCAATTTGGCACTTCCGCACTTTATGGGCCTAAACAGCTGACCTATAATGTACACACCCTCAGCCACCTTGCTGAAGAGTGCTTGATACATGGGCCCCTTGACGCGTTCAGTGCGTTTGGTTTTGAGAATTTTCTTGGTAAGCTTAAGAGAATGCTGCGCACTCGCAACAACCCCCTGGCTCAGGTTAGTCGCAGACTTTCCGAGCGCGCTGGACCCGCATCATTCCAGACTGCAACCAAGACTCATGCAATCAAGGAAGGACAATGCTACCTGTTAAATGACCGACCAGCAGTCACTGTTAAGGTTGGCAGGATCAGCTGTGATGTAGCAGCTTTGACAAACCCCGGAGTTCCATCGTAAACCGGAGACACGGAAAAATAAAAAAACGGACAAAACAACAACAAATCTCAAACACAGCTTCTAGTTTATTTGAACACCTCCGCTCTTATATATATACAACAACCCTCCTCTCCTAAGGTCGACACACCTCCTCTCCACTCCATCAACGACATCTCAAACTGAACCAATGACACATGCTACCTCCCTTCCTTTCATACCAACCAAAAACTGACCCCTTTCCAATCCGAGAAACAGGCACTCAAACCCTGCTAACAATGAAAACACCCCCCCCCCCCCAAAAAAAAAAAGAAAAAAAAAAAGATAGGTTTTTTGGAAACGAACAGCCACAACTGATAACAGGCCTATCGAACAGACACGGTGTTAACATTTAACCACCCCTCAAAAAAAAAAAAAATTAAAGACATAGAAAGCGTTTCAGTTCACTTCCGAAACCCAAGGACGGTGTGCTGACACAATTGCCACGCTCCAAAATACATAAAGTCTCCCTCACAACTCTCCTACCATTTTCTTTCTCTTTATGCAATACCTGGGTATCCCCCCACTCAGGCTGACAGTGATTGCAGTCTACAACATGTTTAGCTATTTCTGAATAATGCGCATTGTCTTTTACCGCCCTTTTATGTTCCAGCAACCTATCATTCAAACAGCGACCAGTTTGGCCTACATAAGACAATCCACACCGCAACGGAATGTCGTATACAACTCTTACTTGACAAGTTAAATCAGGGTTTTGGTGTTTCTTTAGGCAACCCTGACGACCACCCGAAAAGGGGGTTAAGCTTTCCAATTTATGTTGTGCTTTGAAAACTAAATTTACTCCGAACCTCTTGGCCACTGACTTCAAATTGTGAGATATTCCATGATAGTAAGGCACACAGACCACATTTTTCACAACCGGTTTTTCTACCGGAGCCGAACTGAACTTTTTTAACACCTTGAGCATAACGCTAGAAATCACGTCCTGGTGATGGCCCGCTTCCACAAGACGCAACTTTTGCAACCCTATTGCCTCTCCAACGTGATGTACACATGACTTTTTACACGCGTTATCTACCACAGACGCGATTACACCCCTCTTGACTAACTTCGAGTGGCAGCTGTCAGCAGCCAACAAGGGTTTTGCCGATTCCTTACCAAACCTCCAACACAAGCCCTTTTGTGTGTGTAGTAGGAGGTCTAGATACTGAATCTTGCCCTGGAGAGTGCTTCCTTCCGTGAACGTCGAATCGTGGCACTTTTCTATTATACACTTCTTAACCGTCCCTGCTAACCCTTCCTCAAAAGAACAGATCAAAATGTCGTCTACATAGCGACGAACTACAACAGCTCCACTCGGCAAAGACCGCACAAACGCGTCGACATAAACATCCATTTCATTTAAAAAAATCTCTGATAACACTGGCGCAATTGAAGACCCGAAGCACACTCCCTCTTTTTGGATAAAAAGAGCACCTTCAAAGTCTATAACAGTGGACCCCAAATAAAACTATAGGATGCTCATAAAGCTATCCACATCAATTCCAGAGGAAGACTGACATTTTACTAGATGGTCATCACACCACCCCCTGACCCTCCTCAAAAGCTCAGACTTATTCATAGAATAATAAAGATCCTTCATGTCTAAAGTTATTACTTCGCAGCTTCTCCCGTGATGGGGATTCAGTATTTCTATTAATTGCTCAGAGTTTCTAAATGATAACGGGCTATCGACCTCCACTCCGGTTAGACACTTTTGTATAAAAACCGACAACACCCTCTGCCAAGCACCATTTTCGTTCACAACTACTCTCAACGGGAAGCCAGGCTTGTGGTCCTTCAACAAAAATTTCAGTCTTAAGGTAGCCTGTGAAACCTCCCCTAGCCTCTTTACCACCGTCTGAAAGTCACACTCCTTAAGTACAGCTACCACATTCCTTTTCGCTTTCTTGAGGTCCCCAACATACGGCTTAAAAAGTTTATCAACCGCTTCAGCTGCCTTTGCTCTAAACATGTCATTTCCTAGGACAGCAAACCTCCCTGATTTGTCCGTCTGAAGTAAAGTAAGCTCTTTCTGTTCTAGGTCCTTCTTTACATCCCTGAACATCTTACAGGATACCTTATCCCTCGAAAAAGTCTGATCCACTATCCTTGAGACCTTCCTTATTGATTCATCAATAAAAACTTTTTTCTTGTCCTGATCAGAAATTTTCTTCGTGATTTCAAGCACATCAGATACTAAAACCCGGAGATTTTTTCAAGGCCCCAGCACACTCGTCCGCAATTGAAATCTACAGGACAGACGTCCATAGTACTAGCACGAAATCATGGACACAGGCTGCTGTCAGAAATGCCCCAAGATGCCTGAAGCTGCCCTACAAGAAGGGATTTGTTGTAACACTACTGCTCCACCTTCAGGGATAGTTCTACCTGTGCCACCGTATGACAAATTTCCTTGGAATTGCCTGCACCATGCACCATGGCTGTCGTCTTCTGGATGCATAAACCCGTCGGTCGTTTCGTATATTTAGTCTTCAGATGCGATCAGACACTGAGGAGTGCTCGTGGGGTATCGGTCGACAAGTGGGCTAATGCGCACACTCAACTCAAAGCAAGTGGAGTGAAAGCTCGTGTCGCAGGACCTGTGTTCCAGCCCCGCCCTTGCCCATTTCGATCTGGATGAGCATCGTTGCGGTGTGTGGTCGTGTATCGCTACCGTGTGATGCACGATGAAGAACCCAGGCTAGCAGTCGTACTGCACTGGATAAATTGCTCATCTACTGCATAGACCAGTGTTTATCCAGCTGGCAGGCTGACCTTACGTTGCCTAAACATGAACGTCTCATTCCAAGCAGCGCTTTTGCCCGTGTTGTTAGGTGAATAGTGCTCGTGCGCAAGTTGTTGCATGTGAGGGTACTGAAGAGTCCCCGTGTGTCGAAGAAGGAACGTTGGAGCCTTAGTGACATTCTCTGGAGGAATTTGAAGTCCATCTACCTCCAATTGTCGGCTGCGTGTGGAATCTGCTGTGCACGGTCGTCCTCTGCGAGCGCGAACTTTGGGTCGTCTTGACTATTTGATCTTCAGGTGCGTTCAGACACTGAGTAGCGCACGCGCCCGTGTTGTTGCATGCGAGGGATATTGAAGAGTCCCCGTGTGTGGAAGAAAGAACGTTGGAGCCCTGGTGACATTCTCTCAAGGAATTTGAAGTCCATCTATATCGAGTTGTCGGCTGCGTGTGGAATCTGCTGTGCACTGTCGTCCTCTGCGAGCGCAAACTTTTGGGTCGTCTCGACTATTTGATCTTCAGGTGCGTTCAGACACTGAGTAGTGCACGTGCCCGTGTTGTTTTATGTGAGGGATCATGAAGAGTCCCCGTGTGTCGAAGAAGGAACGTTGGAGCCCTGGCGACATTCTCTCAAGAAATTTGAAGTCCATCTATCTCCAGTTGTCGGCTGCGTGTGGAATCTGCTGTGCATTGTAGTCCTCTGCGAGCGCAAACTTGTGGGTCGTCTCGACTATCTGGTCTTCAGGTGCGTTCAGACACTGAGTAGCGCACGTGCCCATGTTGTTGCATGCGAGGGATATTGAAGAGTCCCCGTATGTCGAAATAGGAACGTTCGAGCCCTGGTGACATGCTCTAGAGGAATTTGAAGTCCATCTATCTCCAGTTGTCGGCTGCGTGTGGAATCTGCTGTGCACTGTCGTCCTCTGCGAGCGCAAACTTGTGGGTCGTCTCGACTATCTGGTCTTCAGGTGCGTTCAGACACTGAATAGCGCACGTGCCCGTGTTGTTGCATGCGAGGGATATTGAAGAGTCCCCGTGTGTCGAAGAAGGAACGTTGGAGCCCTGATGACATTCTCTCGAGGAATTTGAAGTCCATCTATCTCCAGTTGTCGGCTGCGTGTGGAATCCGCTGTACACTGTCGTCCTCTGCGAGCGCAAACTTGTGGGTCGTCTCGACTATCTGGTCTTCAGGTGCGTTCAGACACTGAGTAGCGCACGTGCCCGTGTTGTTGCATGCGAGGGATATTGAAGAGTCCCCGTATGTCGAAGAAGGAACGTTCGAGCCCTGGTGACATGCTCTAGAGGAATTTGAAGTCCATCTATCTCCAGTTGTCGGCTGCGTGTGGAATCTGCTGTGCACTGTCGTCCTCTGCGAGCGCAAACTTGTGGGTCGTCTCGACTATCTAGTCTTCAGGTGCGTTCAGACACTGAGTAGCGCACGTGCCCGTGTTGTTGCATGCGAGGGATATTGAAGAGTCCCCGTGTGTCGAAGAAGGAACGTTGGAGCCCTGATGACATTCTCTCGAGGAATTTGAAGTCCATCTATCTCCAGTTGTCGGCTGCGTGTGGAATCTGCTGTACACTGTCGTCCACCGCGAGCGCAAACTTGTGGGTCGTCTCGACTATCTGGTCTTCAGGTGCGTTCAGACACTGAGTTGCGCACGTGCCCGTGTTGTTGCATGCGTGGGATATTGAAGAGTCCTCGTATATCGAAGAAGGAACGTTGGAGCTCTGGTGACATTCTCTCGAGTAATTTGAAGTCCATATGTCTCGAGTTGTCGGCTGCGTGTGGAATCTGCTGTGCACTGTCGTCCTCTGCGACCGACCGCAAACTTGTGGGTCGTCTCGACTATCTAGTCTTAAGGTGCGTTCAGACACTGAGTAGTGCACGTGACCGTGTTGTTGCATGCGAGGGATCATGAAGAGTCCCCGTGTGTCGAAGAAGGAACGTTGGAGCCCTGGTGACATTCTCTCAAAGAATTTGAAGTCCATCTATCTCCAGTTGTCGGCTGCGTGTGGAATCTGCTGTGCATTGTCGTCCTCTGCGAGCGCAAACGTGTGGGTCGTCTCGACTATCTGGTCTTCAGGTGCGTCCAGACACTGAGTAGCGCACGTGCCCGTGCTGTTGCATGCGAGGGATATTGAAGAGTCCCCGTTTGTCGAAGAAGGAACGTTGGAGCCCTGATGACATTCTCTCGAGGAATTTGAAGTCCATCTATCTCCAGTTGTCGGCTGCGTGTGGAATCCGCTGTACACTGTCGTCCTCTGCGAGCGCAAACTTGTGGGTCGTCTCGACTATCTGGTCTTCAGGTGCGTTCAGACACTGAGTAGCGCACGTGCCCGTGTTGTTGCATGCGAGGGATATTGAAGAGTCCCCGTATGTCGAAGAAGGAACGTTCGAGCCCTGGTGACATGCTCTAGAGGAATTTGAAGTCCATCTATCTCCAGTTGTCGGCTGCGTGTGGAATCTGCTGTGCACTGTCGTCCTCTGCGAGCGCAAACTTGTGGGTCGTCTCGACTATCTGGTCTTCAGGTGCGTTCAGACACTGAGTAGCGCACGTGCCCGTGTTGTTGCATGCGAGGGATATTGAAGAGTCCCCGTGTGTCGAAGAAGGAACGTTGGAGCCCTGATGACATTCTCTTTATGAATTAGAAGTACATCTATCTCGAGTTGTCAGCTGCGTGTGTGGAATCTGCTGTGCACTGTCGTCCTCTGCGAGCGCAAACTTATGGGTCGTCTCGACTATTTGGTCTTCAGGTGCGTTCAGACACTTTGAGTAGCACTTGTGCCTGTGTTGTTGCGTGGGGTAGATATTGAAGAGTCCCTGTGTGTCAATGAAAAAACGTTGGAGCCCTGGTAACATTTTCTTGAGGAATTTAAAGTCCGTCTATCTCGAGTTGTCAGCTGCTTTTGTGGAATTGGCTGAGCGACTGTCGTCTTCTGCGAGCACAAACTCATGTGTCGTCTCATCTATTTGGTCTTCAGGTGCGATCAGACACGTTGAGTAGCTCTCATGCCCATGTTGTTGTGTGCGAGGGTATTAAAGCCATCCTTTTTGTGTCTTGAATTGGGGTCCTACTGACACTATTTTGTGGAATTTTGACGTTAAGGTACCCTCTCCATATTTGCTGATATTTGGCGCGTTATGGGTTTGTGAGATCTTTACATTTCCGAGGTGTTGAAGACTTTATAGCTTGAGTGCTTTGCATGTACCTTACATGCAAGACTGAGAGCTCAGATTTTGACTGATTTTTGTTAACCATGAATGCCCCGGTTCTGTTTCAATGTTTTGATACTGCTTTGGGAGGACATTCAGGCCAGAAAACCTGAACTGTAGTAATGGATCCATTGGATGCTCTATCATGACAATAGGCCCACGCACAGAGCATTAGAAACTTGCAGATTCTCAAGAGTCGTTGTCTTGGAACCTTGAATGAGATCCAGAGTGAGTTGCTGAAGGCACTTAACACGCTTCAAGGACAAAACTTCCAAAAAGCCTTCTAAGGGTGGAAAAGCACTGCGAGTGGTGTATCGCTACACAAGGGGGCTACTTCAAAGGAGAATGCTTCGTTGCATATTTGCCCAGTCTAATAACTTGTTATTGTACCTCGAATAATGCATCTTTGGTTTATGACACTCTACATGTTATTCCGAAAGCAGACCATTGTTTACAATGTATGGCATTCTGTAATCATTTTCTTTTCTATGAATGTAAACAGTGACCAATTGGTTATTCATTCATTCATTCATTCATTGTACCCTTAAGGGCCCTTCTTCAAGGGCATTACATAAGGGGGGGAGGGAGGGGTCATACATGAAAAAATACAAAACCAAAGCACCAGGTGTTGCAGCTAACAATGCTGCACTTGCATAAGATGTGAAAAAAAATACAATGATTGATTCTGGAACATGACACAAATAAAGCATGAATAATATTGTTTGTTTGAGTGGTTTGTGTTCTCATTCTGGATGATGATGAGAGTGGGCTCATAGATCTCATTTGGGCGGTGATTTAGAATTGTTTTTATTCTCTTGACACATTTATCAAGTATGCAGGTTTTTGTATTTTGTATTTTTCATAAATTTGGTCTAGTTATTCCTAAAGATGACAGTTTCATGTTTATTTGGTCAATATAAATTAAGATGAGTTTACCAGCATATTTTTGTTGATACGAGAGTGACACCCACTTAGCCCAAGATCTCACAAAATTAATACATTGCTGTTGTTTAGTGCTATAAAAAAATTACTTCAAGCATACCTTCTTATGGGATTTAGAGTGAGGGAATGAGAAAGTGGTAGGGTCAAATTTGACAAGGTGAAGAAGGAACCTTGATATAATAGTACTCAACAGTTTTCCTGTTATATTAGGCCCAAAATGTAGTGATATTTCCAAAGCTCAAGTATAATATGAATGATTAAACCCTTTCCCAGAAAAGGTATTGCTCGGTGTCCACAGATCTGGCAGCCTAATTCTGTCAGATCTTAACGCGCAATTATATAAAACTGAGCTCGCAAAAGAACACATTTCTTACTACCTAAATAGAACAGGGACGTCATAAAATAATTTATAACCGGGCAAAAAAAAAATATCGCGACATTACACCGCAAAACATCCTTTTGAGTTTATTCGCGAAACC